CCCCGCCGCCGCCGGTCACGTCGCCAGCAACCAAGGTAAGGGCGGCCGCGGGGCTCGGGGGTGCGGGCGGGCTCCCGACAACTTTTCGGCGGCCGCAGGGTGCGAGGGGCCGGCGGGGGGGCGGGTCCGAACCCACGCCCGGCCCGGGGCAGCGGGGTGTCGGGGCGCTGGAGTGCCCCCCGGCCGGGCGCGGTGCTCCGGTAGCCCGGCGCGCTGAGGAGGCGGAGGGGATGCGGGGCCGGGCGCGGCGGCCGGTCACCGCCCGGCGGCCACCTGCTTCTGCCGTCTGTGCCCGCCGCCCCTTGAAAGTTGGGTGTTTGGCGAGAGGGAAGCCGGGGGCTCTGCTGTCAACCCCCCTCTCCGGACCGCTTCCCCCGAAGGATCGAGGTGCCGTCCCCCGCCGAGCGGCACCGGGGACAGGGAGATAACGGCGGGGCTGGCGGGGCGGCTGCGGGCTCTCCACGGTCACCCCGAGCCGGCGGGGTTCGTGAATGAGCTGCTGAACAGCAGATGACGGAGAGTTACCTCCCGCTGAGACGGAGCGGTAGCATCTTTTTGACTTGAAATGCTGTTTTAACGTTTATTACACTCCTGCCGAACTCAAAGCGCCTTCGGAGTGGGTTTGGGAGGGCTCACCGCGTGTTAAGAGCAATTGCTGCTCGTCAGCGAACTGTTGAAAGGCGCCTGACTGTCCTTAACACCTAATTTTTACGTGCTACGGTCTGATTGTCCGAAAAAAATCCCATTTCGAGTCTTTGTCACAGGTGCATGCTCATCAGGTCTTACAGAAGACAGTAGTTTAATTCTTTAGGTTGTAATGTGTGCATTGAAGAAAAATGCCTCTGGATTAAGAAGGGAATCGTCCTGTTTAGGAAAATAAAAATAAAACTGCATAGCATACCCAGAGAATATCAAATTTTGTTAGGAAGAACTGAAAAAAAAAACCCATAAACGATTGTGAAACATCATGTTATATGTTATTGAACATCTGGATAGAGCAGAGCATTTCCTTAACTTCAGCGTTCAGCATTTCCTGTTTAGTGTACATCCCTCCACTTATGTTGTGGAGGATGTAGGATGCATCTATTCCTAAATTAGGAGCGTCTTCCCTACTTTTATTATTATTTTGTACAATTTAGATTTCACCTAATGGGGTTTTAGTATGACATGAGTGAATATATGGGAACTGAGGGGTAGCTGTAAATGTTGCTTCTGACAGAAATTATTTTACCCACTATTATTGAAAGGAGCTCTGAAAATGACTATAGTGGAAACTAGCAGTCAGAGAAAACAGACTGGTTTTGGTCATGGAGTACCATCAGTACTCCACAACTGAAAATATAGTTCAAATATTTTCGCACTTCTGTTTTACAATCAGTTTTCATTGTTCATTTTATCCATCTGGGTAACAGTAAGGAGAGCGATCAAATATCTAGAAAATAGGAAAATATGATAGTATGGCCACAAATACACTGAACAATCAGGGTCAGTTATGACAGGGACATTCCAAGTTAGAATTATTCCTTTACTACTTCTACCCAAAATGTGATGAATAATTTCAGTTTGTAATTGTATAACAGTCATACCAATGCTGTATTAAAATTCCCCCTTACTCATATCTTGGAAGACATCAGATTTTCACAGTAGCACAACACAGTTTTCCTTTTATGTCACTCTCATTAGTGCATGCTAATATCTGCTACGTTACCGCAAGGCCTAACAAGACACATGAAGGCGCTTTAAAAAAATCTGTTCGCTGCGTTATAGAATAACCAACACACAGTATATGTATCAAAGGTAAAGACATTTCATTAAGTAATGCAAGTTAAATTAGGTTTCTAAAGTAGTATTTGAGATTCCTGGGATTAAATTAGTAATGTTTAAATAGTGTTTTAAAAAGCAGGTGAGAAATGGGAAAAATAGTATCATTTCACAGTTTAGACCAAAAAAAGGTCTGTCAAGGATGAAGTGGCTTTTTGCTGTTGACCTAACTTTTCCCAGCAAGTTCAGGTATTGACATATTGGCTGCATAGAGTACTGAGGAATTACCTAACTTGCGAATAACTTCTCTTTCTGTACCTTGTTTCAAATCTTCCAATAAACTGAACGACCTCTTATCTTTGGTACTGTCATTGTAGCATAGAAGTCAAATAGTAAGTGTAACTCAACACATATGAACTGAAAATTTAATGAATTAATACAGGTGCTTCAAAACGCACGCCCCACCCTATTAATAAAATGCTAGCAAAAGAGTTTACTTTTAATGATAACTTTCTCTAAATCCAGGAATTGGATAAAAGAAAATTAGTACAGTACAGAAGTTGCCCGTTGTGTGAACACTTAAATGTGTAAGTTTAAAATGCTGGTTACTAACATTTGGAGTCCCAGCTCTAAGGAATGTTTTGAAATCTTGTGCAGTTAATAGAGCGGGAAAAAAATCTCTTAAACTTTCATAAGGTGATATTTGCAGAGTGTACATCTTGGAAACATGTTAGCAATAATTGCTACTGTGCTTGCATTAATAATTAGAACTTAGCTTGCCTTTACTATCTAATATATGTGGTCCTCTATTTTGTATTTACAAACATACTCACATTAATACTAAATTGCAAAGGAATGTTTTATTTGGGTTTTTTGATTGTTTGGGGGAATAAGGAGGAAGGGAAATAAGTTTATTAGTCTGACTTGGTAAATAACCAGCTCTTCCACTTCGTTCTTAATGGTTTATTTCCTGTTATTAAAGAGGGATTTTTACATAATTAATATACTCCAGTCTTATAAATTATTGTTATTACTATGTTGGGATTAATCTTTTTGTTTGTTTTCCTCAAACATAAAGGAAAACATAATTTTTTGTATAGTTCCAAGACTCTTAGGTTGTCGTTCTTCACACAGTAAATCAATGCGTGGTGTCTTACAGTATCTGTAGCAAGGCAAACAGAAACAGTACTATTGACAGGGAAGTGAACTTACTCATTCATCTTAATGGAGTGGTGAGTTGAAAAACAAATTATGACCGTGCAAAAGGCTAGTTTTTACTGCCAAGGAAAACCCTGTAGGTAAGCAAGGCAGTGCAGCTGCATAGGAACAATATACCACTGCAGTCTGAAACAGAACTGCTTGAAACATGAGCCTCAATTAGTGGTGTAGGGTGAGCGCTTGCATGTTCATCTAAATTTTCATTAGTTGTTCCTGACATCCAGTTATGAACAAGTTGTATTATTATGCAAGATTTCAGCCTGTGTTGTAAGTTTGTTGTTTGGTTGCCAGAACACAATGAATTGGGCAATTACTCTCAAACCTGAAAATACAGATAATAGCATCTGAGCTGTAAACTTCTTTGTGCAAAACATGTATCAGCATTTAAGATAAGGTTGCATCAGGTAACAGTTTGATGGTATCCTGTTCTAAGCATGTATGCATATGTTTCCACAAATATGTAAACGAGAAAGAATTTTTGTACTCTGGTTTCTTTCAAACTGTATCTACCTCGTCTGTCACCAAACAATTTCTGAAGTAAACTATAGAACTCTTGGAGTTTATAATGTTTATGTCTGTCAGTGAACTGTAAAAGGAAGTTCTTGCTTTTTCAGTTACCAAGTGTCGATACATCTTGTCAGCTTATGCAAAGTTGGTCTTTTTATGCTTCCTCATAAAAGGCACTTGTATTTATTTTCTTCCTCTTACAAAAAAAAAAGATGTAAGAAATAATGTCAAATGTCACTTTCAAAATTCGTATAGTCTTTATTTTCACAGTGATTACACTTGATGTAAATTGGGTAGGTCAAGTTAGGTAATAAAGCTTTTTGATTCTGGTATTAAAATCTTAGGCAGATTACTAATGACCTTGAGTTGTTCATCAGTTCAAAGAAGTTGTCTTATTTTTATTCACATATTTATTTTTCCATAAGTGTAATCCATCACAGATAAGCACTCTTTCTGAATACAGCACTCAGAATTTTCCTGTAGCAACAAGGAGACCAAGGACTAAGTGTCTGTAGAGACTGAACTTCTCTCTGAATGAGACTGATGTTTTACTGCTAGAGCATATCTCTTACTTTGAGGTACTTACAGGTTCTGTGAAGAAGGTTGTGCTGATGCCTGTATTGTACTGCTCCTGGTGGATTGTGCTGTTCAGTTGCCCCGCTAGGATTTTTTTGTGAGCATTTACAGAATTACAGAAAAATGAGAAAATTAAATAAACAAAACCATTGCAGTAAAATTATGTCATTCTCTTGAATTAAATAGTGTTTTAGTCTCAAGCTGTTAGGAAATTTTAAAAAACATTTTTACGCACGTGGCCCACATTCATACAGAGTTGGGTGATAATGAAGATTTTGGAACCTCTACAGTTGTAGGTATGCATGAAATGACTTTTTATCCAAAAACCTCGATTTATATGCCATAAGTATGACATGAACAGGTGCTTCATGATATATTCCTGGTGTTGTATTTGGCAGTACTGAGTGCTTTTTGGATATTTTGGTAATTTGTTTTGGACAAATGAGAATGATTGGTATGAAAATATTAAAAATTTTAAAATGTATAGCATTAAGCAGATACAGGTTAAAAACAAGTTCTCATGTAATTTAAAGGTGTGAAAACACCACAGGAACTAAAGCGTTTCCAAAAGTATACAACTTGGCCTTGTTGAGAAAAAAGGCAAGTCAAAATCTAAGTGAAGTGTTATAAGGAGTAGGGAAAAATAAACTGAAGAAAATAGTTGACAGTGAGCAATGTTTTTTCCATCTCTCATGATTTATTCAGAGGTAGGTGTTTTCAGTTTCAGGCAGCATCTTGCCTGTGTTAGGAAACAAGCCAGTGTAGTTCTTGGGAACCAGATCGACACCAGTGCGGAGGAGACGACGACTGCCCTGCATCTTCTGAGGTCCTTTTCAAAGTGTCTGCTGCTGGCTGCTCTCAAGCTGGCCTTCAGTATTGGATAGGATATACTTTGGGTTTGATCCAGAGTGACCATTTTTATCCTCCTATGAATTTAACATTTAATTTTTGGCCAGACAACATTTCTTTTGGC